GAGAGAGAGACACACACACACACACACAATAGAGAGAATATCCCAAGCAGGCTCCGAGCTGTCAGCAGAGCCCACAAACCGTGAGATCATGATCTGAGCGGAAATCAAGGGTCAGACACTTAACTGCCTGAGCCACCCAGGTGCCAGTAATGAAACTCTTATCCTTTCATCGTGTCACGTTAATAAGTGATACTAACTTACTACACGTCGTACATCGTTTTTAAAAACATTGGTGGACCTTCCACATGCTGACCTGACCTCTTCCCACCTGCCAGGCACAAACACCTCGGCTAGCAACGGTGGGCCGTTTCAGGGTGTGGTGCTGACCCGTGCGCCAGCAGACTCCTAGCCGCTCAGTTAGAACCTCCATCTGACACCTACCGCTCAACTTCTGCATCTGCATTTCTGGGGAGCAACCCGGAACTGAACCCCTACCACACAAAGCATCGGACAAGCAGATCCGTTTCTTTTACAGATCAATGGCCCCCAGGGCTTTGTCCCAACCACAGATTTTACTAATAGCAAACAAGAGACAATTAAAAAGTTGATGACCAACACTGTACTAACACTGAGCCACTCCTAAACAAAAAGTAACCAAGTGACCAAAACGAAGTCCAGGTACAAATAAGATCTTAGTTGGAAACCATGGAAAATACTGTCCTGCATTTATTATACGACTTATTCTATTTGATAATACACAGAATTCACAACAAAAGAAAGCTGCCCACAAAATCTCGTTTTGAGGCCAAAAGTCCAAGTGGCCCCATCTCCCAGTAGCGGGGCAGAGAAACAGTCATAGAAACGTAACAGTACATCTACGTCCGAGATCGGCTAACGACAGCCCTCAAGCCAAATCCGGCCCGAAGCTTGGTTCTGTCGAAGTTTCACCGGCACACGGCCACGCCTGCTGATGCGGAATGGTCTACGAGGCCTTCTGTGCTAAAACAGCAGAGGTGAGTAATTATGAAGACCGGCTGGGCCGTAACGCCTCAGGTATTTACGATCTCGGCCGTCTCCAGAAGTGATCTGCTCGCTCCCGTGAGGAGGGGACAGGCTCTGCGGCAACACGTGCAAATGCACAAGACAGAAATGCAATCCGATACCGTAAACACGTGGAAATGACAGCGTGTCCTCCGTGAAGGCTGCTGGGTTCAAAGAAGGAGCCAGATGAAAAACCGTGGCCAAATTTTACGAAAAACTCGCGGGATGAGAGTAAACTAAGAAGTACAAGTTTATTGTAAGACTTCCTGTTTGGGCCCAAATTATCTCGTAATAAAGAAAGTCCTACCTCTGGTTCTGTTTTTGCTTCTTCTTTGGGTTGAACCACAGGGCTGAGCGGCTTGACCTTGGCTTCCGTCTTCCCCGGTGCGGCCCTGGACCCCGCCCCCGGCCTCGAGGGTGGCGACGTGCTAATGACAGGTTTCACTTGAGCCGAGGCCGTGGAGCAGCGACTGCTGCCCATATCCAAGACGTGCGACGGCGCGATCGGTAGCTCGCGCAGGTTACTGTTCCTGGGAGCGGTGGGCTGCATTTGCTGCATTGGCCGCTTGGTTACGTTCTGAGAAGTTGTGTTCTATCACAAGAAGAAAGAAGTCGAATTATAACTGGATACTTGGGAGAAAGATAAAAAGGCACATTAGTGGATGAAAACATGGTAACAATCATTTTAATTAGTGAGCGAGTTCTCTTTGGGGTGGAGATAGCTTTCCCCGGTGAACACTCGCCTTCGTGCATTAGTGTTCCTGCGCTCTGGGGCAGCACACCATTATGCTGAGGATCAGGACGTTCAAGGCTATCATATTTGCCTACAGACAAGTTCCTCTTTAATGGAAATTACACCAGCTGGCTGTAGCGGTGCCTCAGTGTGGGGACTGACGCTTTTAGCAGAACTGATGGGGCCGACAAAGGATGACTGGCACCACTTTCACTGGGTCCCGGAATTTAAGGCGGCACAAGAAAAAGAGCGAAGCGATAAGTCAGCATCCTAAGAAAAACTGCTCTCTGCGTGAGAAACATGCTTGAAAGTTTTATCTGAGGGGAAAGTCTTAGTGATGCTCGTCCCTGGGATTCTTAACAGAGACACGACCCTGGGAGGAGCTTAGAGGTAGGAGCCGGCTGTAGGAGCACTGCGCTCCAAGAACACGCAGGCCAACGTTTACGGGCACAAGGCTAGGGACACAGTGTGCCATTGCTCTAACACAGTGAAGTCTAAATTACAACGCATCTTTCCCAAACTCCTTCCTCTTTTCTTTTTTTTTAAAGTTTATTTATTTACTTATCCATCTATCTATCTATCTATCGGTGAGGGAAGGGGGTGGGAGGGTGAGAGGAGAGAGGGGCAGAGAGCGGGAGAAAGAAAGAATCCTAAGCAGGCTCCAGGCTGTCACTACAGAGGCCCACATGAGACTCAAACCCATGAACCACAAGATCATGACCTGAGCCAAAATCAACAGCTGGATGCTCAACAACTGGGCCACCCAGGTCCCCTTCCTCATTTCTTGTATCGTTAGTCTCAACGTTACTCTAAGAAAGAAAGATGCAGGTATGAGAAAAACTGAGATTAAAAGTAGCTAGCGACACCCTGGAAGCTCAAGGTCAAAGGGAGAGTACTAAAAGCAAAGCCCAACTATCTGACCTTGGCCCACAATTCTAACCATTAGTCTCTTTATAGAGTTATTTAATGGAGGACAAGGCAATAGCAATGACTACTGTCTTTTATTTTTAAAGCAATGCACACTCCATAGCTCCCTTCGATAAGTGACAGGCCACATAGCACACCTGCTGAGGGCACCTGAGACTGTGTCCTCACATATGCACTGATGACCTCCCGCAGTTAAATACAGGCTTCACGAGGATAGGAAACTTGTCTCTTGTCCACTGCTGCCTTCCCAGGAACTCAGATGGTGCCTAGCAAGAGGCTGTCCGGTCAATTCCACCTGAATCCATTTATTTATGCAGAGCACAAGGACGCAGAGACGATACAGCCAACAACAAAAAAAAGCAGCGGTTAAGGCAGAGTGGCCATCGCCCAAAAGTAGGGTTTCCTAACGTTATGTGTCCACTAACGGTATCCACCACTGTAAGAGTATCTAGGGGCGCCTGGGTGGCTCAGTCGGTTAAGCAGCTGACTTTGGCTCAGGTCATGATCTCCCGGTTTGTGGGTTCGAGCCCCGCGTCGGGCTCTGTGCTGACTGCTCGGAGCCTGGAGCCTGCTTCGGATTCTGCGTCTCCCTCTCTCTCTGCCCCTCCCCTGCTCATGCTGTCTCTATCTCTCAAAAATAAGTAAATGTAAAAAAAATAAATAAATAAGAGGATCTAGATATACACACATAAGATGATGAAGTAAATAATGTTAATACAGTCTTCCTAGCACAAAAGGGACTTCATTAATTTCTGCAGTCAAGAAAATCAATTTCCTAAGCAGTCTTTTACACACACACTCCCTTCAGAGAAATGTACTACCCATGTTTCAGGAATTAAACCGGAACTGGAAAATATGCCGCCTCACCAGCTCTGTCCCTTAAGTTCCGCCCCTTAAAAGGTGCGCCGGGAAGACAGCCGGAGGCAGCGGGCCACTTACATGCCTGAGCCCCTGGCGCTGGGGACACTGCATCCGAGCACCGCCTGGCTGCGGCTGGGCCGTCTGGATGTGAGGCCGGAACTGCGGCTGCGACATGGGCATCAGCGGCGGCGGAGGGACGGACAGGTGGTGGTGGTGCTGGTGCGGCTGCGGCTGGTGCGGGGGCTGGTGCTGCGGTTGCGGGGGCGGCTGGTGCTGCGGGGGCGGCTGCAGCGGAGGCTGGTGCTGCGGCTGGAGCGGGGGCTGAGGCTGCGGCTGCGGCTGGGGCTGGTGCGGAGGGGGCAGCGGAGGGTGAAGGGGCCCCTTGGTGCCAAAACAAAGACAGACAACAGTTATAAACGCACTTCCTAGGTACGCTGCAATTCGGCCGTTTCTTTAAAACCCCAAACCAGCAACTTGAAGGGCACTAAAATTTCATCTTAGATTTGTTGACAGAGGTCGTATCAGCTAAAACACGGTAACAAGCCAAAAGCGATCTCTTACACCTTATATTTGCGCTGAGTCCTTCTACGCTCCAAATTCCAGGAATCTAAGGAAACAAGTAAGGATGCCGCCGGCGGCACAGTTTCTAACGCCCACGTACTGGGACCGATAAAGATGCCCCAAAACTAATGACAGCCGGAAGGTGTAATCCTGCAAGGCGCTTTCAAATGCTGCAGAGAAAAGCAAGCCGGGAAGAGGGGCTGACACTACTGTGCTAACTGGAACAGCAGCAGCACAGGAGGAGGGCGCGCCCGCTGCGGGGACACGGGAGCCACGGGCGCCCCCCTGTGGGTGGTGACCTTTCCTAGAGGACGGGATTTCTTCATTTTCTTTGGGAATAATTCTCTCTACTCAAAGAAGTCCCTTTTACTTCTACTCAAAGAAGAAACATTTTATCCCACGTTAACAATCTAAATAATAATCGTTTTCCTTTTTCCACTTTAGGTAGTCTGTGTGTTTCCAGACGGTTGAGCCAGGTGTACCATCGTGATGGGTCTTTACAGCAAAGCTGAAGGACAGGCAGAAAGTACGGGGCAAGCAAGAGCCCCCGGAACCCAAGGGGCCCATGAAGCGTGACCCACAGCAGAGGGCACTCAAATCTTTCAAATAACGGGCAACAGCGACACTCTCCTTCCCCTCGGCGCACAGAATCTTTCTGCTACGCCACTGCAGGAAGGTAAGTGGACAAAGAACTTTACTTCCACTGGAAACCCTTTTAAGAATCCTGCCACGAGGAGCAAAGAGCCTGCCCTAACTTTATTAGCAGTACGGCCTCTCGGAATGTTTTCCTTTCCCCACAACTGACCACCGCTTTTTCCATTTCTCCGGCCAAGGAGATAAACGAGCCTGTCGAGAAAGCAGCGCGTTGCGGACGAGCCCCTGGCTCTTTCAACGGGGTCCCCGCGCCCCAGGACGCCGAGGCGCCCCTCCCCCGCATACCTGCAGGCTGGGCTGCGCGTGCGCGGGCAGGAAGGGCTGGCCCGGGCCGGGCAGGAAGGGCTGCCGCGGCGGGATGAAGGGCCGCGTGGCCGCCGAGCCCGGCTGGCTGAAGTGCAGGATCCCCAGCGGCCCCGGCGGCTGCAGCGCTGGCCTCACGGGCCTCTCCCTGGGGAACACGGGCTGCTGGCCCTGCTGGCTGAACGCTGGCCCGGGCTGGGTGAACGGCAGGGGGCTGGGGGCG